AAGAAACAGGCATAAGAGAGAGCAGGTCTCTGGCACTGTCTCTCCCTTGCTCCTGGCTTCCATGCAGACTTGATGCCTAGACCCGTGGGACAGTGTGCTGGCTTTGTATTGTGTTGGTCCAGCTAAGCAGCATCTGTTATCCAGAATCCTCCCATAGTTCCAGGTTAGCATTGGCCACAAGGGAAATGTCGCATGAGATCAGGGAGGAAGCAGCTAAGCAGCAGCCATGGTTTTCATGCTCCAAAGGACAACACAAGGCATGAGGAACACTGGCAATTCTCACACATTGCCGCTGACCTGCTGCCTCACCTTGCTGGTATGGGGCAGCAGAAAGACTCACAGTTCCTCCTGCTCCTACCAGATCTCCTCCTATGGCTCCTTCAAGCCCTAAGCCAAGTGCATCTGTAGCTCAGTAAAGGGTGCCAGCATGTTTTGCAGGACACCTCATTATTGAGGCTGGAGGTAGTGACAGACACATGCAGATTCAGTTTGTTCTAAAAGACTTTAGTCGTTCATGAATTTCAGTTTGTTCTCACAGATTCCAGTCTGTTCTTGCTATCATCCCACATCCAACTTTCTACCTTGACTGCCATCCTGGCTGATCTATAGTGACTTCAGATTCAACATTAGAACCAAAGACAACAAACAGCCATGCCAGGATGCCGGGACTCCTCCACCAGCTCTCACACCCTGCAAGCTCGAAGGCAGCACTGTCCAGCAGAACTTTCTGTGATGATGGAAGTGTTTTATACCTGAGCTGCCGAATATAATAGCCACATTTGAAACATACCTAGTGCAGCAGAGGAGCTAAGTTGTTACTCTTATTTAATGTTAATTAATTTAAATTTAAATAACCAGATGTGGCTAGTCGCTACAATATTGGACAATGCAGGCCTAGTGCATTTTTTAAATCACTTGTAGTGGCTTTGTTTCTCTGACTGAATCCTGACTGATACAGGCAGCAGCTGCTAGCTACATGGGGAGAACATAGAGAGAGACACAAAGCCAGCATACTAGGAATCACAGGGCTGGAGGAAGAAGCAGCCTGGGTCCTGGAAGTTCAACCAGCCTATAATCTTTGAACTTCTTAGATGAGAAAAAAAAAAAAAGACCCCCAGTGGGCAGTGAACTCTCACCTTGTACTTCCAATAAATCCTGTCTCTTTTCTTGGTGGCTTCTTCTTCCTGCAGTGAAGTGGTGTAGACCTTGTCTAGAATGCCACAGGACACAGATGGTGATCTTAGAACTCAATTTGAAAAAAATGTGTTTATGCACACATAGGAATCATAAAATATAAATTTAAACTCATCTTTTGAAAGAAGAAAGTAATATCAACAGAAAAATTAACAAGAATTAATGTTAGTTTTCTGATCAAGCAACTCCCTTTTCCTTTATGTTTATCTTTGCTTTCTCTTGAAAAATGACCTACAGGAAGTAACCCACCTTCCGCAGTCCTTTGAGTTCATGGATACATAAATGAACACTATAAACTTCAGACTTTAAGAAGTATTAGGGTTTGCCAGAAACACAGAATGAGAAGCATGAATATATATAAAGATATTTACTATAAAGTATCGACTCTTTCAATTACAGAGGCTGAGAAGTCCCATAATCTGTCATGTACAAGCTGGAGACCCAGTAAAGCTGGTGATAAGAGTTTGAAGGTCTGAGAGCCGAAGAGCCAAGGGTGTAGATTCCAGTCCTGGTCTAGAGGCCTGAAAACCATGAGAAGAACAATGTCCAAACTCAGGCAGTGAGGCAGAGAGTGAATTCAACCTTCCCCCACTTTTTTAGTTCTATTCAATCCCTAATGGATTGGATGAAGCCCACCAACACTGAGGAGGGCATGTACTTCACTCAGTCCACCAACTCAAATACTAATCTCCTCCAGGAACACTTTCTCAGACATACTCTGCCATAATGTTTAACCAGCTACCTGGGCATCCCACGGCCTAGTCAAGTCAACACATAAAATTAACCACCATAGTGTTCTCCATATGCAATGGCCCCACAAACAGGAATTAAACAATCAGCAAAGCTCCATGGCTCAGTTCTAGAATTGAGGGTGTTAATCTGTTTTCTGTTAAGAAACTCTAGGCTCTATGTGAACTGAAACTATATCAAGATGCTGACACTAAAATTAGAAATGGGAAGAAGTAGGTTTTAAACCACAAAATTAATTGGGGATAACTGACAAGCAAGATAAGACCTGTACTCAAAGGAACAAATGTGACGGTCCAGTTGCTAAGTAGCGACAGCAAACTTATCAACCCTCCTATTCAGCAATCTAGCAACATGGAATATAGCAGAACTGTTAAACCAAACACACACACACACACACACACACACGCGCGCGCGCATGCACACACATGTATGTATGTATTCTGTCCAAATTCTGGAAGCAATTAAAAGGAGTAATTCGAACATGTAATGCTGAGCAACACAGTAATTAATAGGATATTAGCCCCCCCCCAAGATTTATAGGATCCTCTCTAGTCTTCCTCTTGTCACACACCTCACCACAGGTGAGACACCCTCAGGGCACTACTCACCCAGACCCCATTCCCCCTCCATTGTAGACCACCTTCCAGTTACTTGAGATCATGAAATTTCCCACTCAAATGCTGATCCCATAGCTCACTTCTAGGGCTTGATCAGGCATCTTCCCTAAGTCCATCCATTCAAGGGTCAACTGCATGTATGAGGTGCATATTTCCAGGACCAAGAGGTGGCTTTTGGGATAGAGCTTGGTTATCAAGAACTATACTGCCCTCACATTTCTGTGCAAGTCTCCTTGTGGATGCAAGACTGAGACAGGGTTTAGGAAGATAAGGGGATCTTCAATTGCACTCTTGCTCTGGTATTCATAAAAACCAGTGGCAGGCCTGTCACCAGGTACCCATCTGAAGAAAAGCTAGAGAGAAACATAGAGGAAAGTTTCAATAGTAGGTTTTTGTTGTGAGGGGACTTATGAAAATTTTAAAGGTATAAAAACATTTGGAAAATAAGCACTGTGAAAATTCAGTGAATCTAAAATCCCTTATTAAATAATAAAACTGCAGTGCAGAATTTGCTATAAACCAGACTCATAGTGCTTTCCTATTAAGAAACACTTTTGATTTAAGTTTAATGTTTCCCCATTGCTTGGGGTGAGATGGGGGAGAGTTGGAGTAGGGGAATAGTCAGAGATGGATGGCAAAGATTGGTGATAAGTTGTTACTGACCTGCAGAGTTTACAGCTGGAAAAAAAAACTGTAGGAGTTAAGATCCTCTTTCCTAGGAATCCATGCCATGAGAAGTTTAGAGATTGAGGTAGTGGCTGCTGATATGTGAAAATGGGCCTGTAAACTTTTCAAGGGATCCAGTAAATTATGTTTGTTCTAGTGGGACACCGCCCCTTCCCTCCCCCCCCCCACCCCCCCACCAGCCACCGCCACTCCTCCACATTCCAATCCCCAGGCCAGAATCATCAAAGGTAAAAAATGTTCATGGAGAGTAAGCAAGCTGCAGCAAGACAGGCTCTTCAGCAGGCAATCTTTCCCTCCTCCCACGTGATGACTGTCTTTCTTGCCAGTTTCCTATGCAGAGCCTTCACTTCCCTGTCAGCCTCCCTTCCCCAAGTGAATGTGACTTCTTATAGAACACAGTTACCCATGTTGTCTGCCAAACTGGATTTTGTTTTGTTTTGTGCTAAACATCAGCCCATTTTCACTACTCTGCAATTATCACAATATGTGGTAGGAAATTATTGTCAGCTCCAGTCTGAAACTGGCCACTTACCAGGAACAAGTCTTTCCGGGTGGACACTATGTAGTTAACAGAACATGTAAAGATAAGCAGCTAAACAAAATATCAACATTTTCTTACAAGACTGAGCTTCAGGACAGAACAGTGATGTGCAACGGTTTTCATGTTGTATCCACAAACAAATTCTGCACAATTACAAGAAACACTCTTTTTTTAATTGTTGCTTAAGTGGTTATCCGTTATGCTGTTGACATAGGAAAAGGCGAAATGCTAGTAACCGAATCAAACCAGCAGTGCAACAGGCCGCTCGGTGGTGCGCATTGCAGGGGTTGGTTCCTTGGATGGACAAACTTGCTTTACACTTCCTCCCAATTTTTGTCTCACCCACTTAGTGTATCTTCCAGGGAATGGTAAAAGAAACCAAAACATACTGGTCTTACTTCAAGCTGTCTTTGGACTGTTATTCCCTTGTTCCACTCATTTCACGGGATTGGGTTCTCCTAACTTCATTGTTTGGTGAGTCGCTTTGCTTTGTTCGTTGCCCCAATCTTCTGTGCATTCTGCGCCTACCCCTCAAGTGCTCCTGCACTCCCTCCCAGCACTCTGAGCATTCTGCGCCTACCCCTCAAGTGCTCCTGCACTCCCTCCCAGCACTCTGATGGGGCTTAACACTTCCCAGCCGAGGTCACACTGCCTTGCGCTTGGAGTACCGGACCCCAAGGAAGCGAGAAAGGCCTCTCCTGCCGGCCGCGGGCAGCGCCGGAACACGAGCACCCCACGCTCCTCTGCCAAGTACGGCGCCCAGTGGGTGCGCAGACTCCTTCTCCGGCGAGCCCTAGGGACTCAGAACGCCCCCGCGAGAGTGACACGTTCTGCCTCCCCCGCAGCTCGCGGACACTCGTACTTGCAAGGCCTGGCCCGCACTCGTGGGCCCGCCCCCCCGCCATGATGCGGGGGCGGAGACGACGGCTCTCCAGCCTCTGGCTCCCGGCCCCAGCCGGCGCCGGTAGGCGGGTAGGCGCGGGAGCCTCGAGCGCGCTCGGATGCAGCAGCCGAGCCATCACACTGCGCGCGGCGGGAGACCCAGGACTAGCCGCCGTTGGCCGTTGGCGCGCTGGGTGCGGGAAAGGGACTCTGTATTTCCGTCCCTCCCCTTTTTCCTCTGAGTCTCCGAACGCTCCCGCTCTCAGACCCTCCTCCTCCCAGGTAAAGGCCGGGAGAGGAGGGCGCATCTCTTTTCCAGGCACCCCACCATGGGCAATGCCTCCAATGACTCCTGGCCCGAGGACTGCGGGACGCGACAGTGGCTTCCCCCGGGCGAAAGCCCAGCTATCAGCTCCGCGATGTTCTCGGCCGGGGTGCTGGGGAACCTCATCGCGCTGGCGCTGCTGGCGCGCCGCTGGCGGGGGGACACGGGGTGCAGCGCTGGCCGCAGATGCTCCCTCTCCTTATTCCACGTGCTGGTGACCGAGCTGGTGTTCACAGACCTGCTCGGGACTTGCCTCATAAGCCCGGTGGTATTGGCTTCGTACGCACGGAACCAGACCCTGGTAGCACTGGCGCCCGAGAGCCGTGCGTGCACCTACTTCGCTTTTGCCATGACCTTCTTCAGCCTGGCCACGATGCTCATGCTCTTCGCCATGGCCCTGGAGCGCTACCTCTCGATCGGGCACCCCTACTTCTACCAGCGCCGTGTCTCGCGCTCAGGGGGCCTGGCCGTGCTGCCCGTCATCTACGCAGTCTCCCTGCTCTTCTGCTCGCTGCCGCTGCTGGACTACGGGCAGTACGTCCAGTACTGCCCCGGGACCTGGTGCTTCATCCGGCACGACCAGACCTCTTACCTGCAGCTGTACGCCACCCTGCTGTTGCTCCTCATCGTCGCGGTGCTCGCCTGCAACTTCAGTGTCATCCTCAACCTCATCCGCATGCACCGCCGAAGCCGGAGAAGCCGCTGTGGACCTTTCTTGGGCAGTGGCCGGTGCGGCCCCGGGGCCCGTAGGAGAGGGGAAAGGGTGTCCATGACAGAGGAGACGGACCACCTCATTCTCCTGGCTATCATGACTATCACCTTCGCCGTCTGCTCCTTTCCTTTCACGGTAAGTCACTCCCTACGTTTCCACAGCCCAGCTGCTCAGCCTTCTCCTGCTTTCCCCTGATGCCCCCACCCTTTCCATTGCCCTATAAACTTTTTGTAACTGGTAAAAGTATGTCCTAATTTGTAAAGATCTGTAGCCTTCCCCACTCGCTTCTCCTCTTTAGCTCACTTCCTTCCTCCCTCAATCCTGGCCTATGGGCCTTGCTAGGCTAGAGTTTCTTATACAGTAATACAGACCATCCGAAACGGAGTCCTGGGCCTTGGCTAAGCCAGCCAGACTCCTCATCCTAGCCCCGTGCAGGGTCCCTTTCTCGCTGTTGCCTATCTTGGCTTAGTAATTGAGAAACAGGCAGCCCCTTCCACCTTAGAATGGCTGTCACTGTTCTAATCTAACTACATGGAGCTGCGGTTTGCTGCCCTGTACCTCTTACCCACTGATGCTAGCTCGCTTGCCTTCTGTTCCTGGCAGGGCAAAATGTAGTACCCAACCCAAGCATTCCAGCTGCCATTGAAAATGGTCCCAGATGAGAAGGGTCCCTGTTGCAGAAGTTTAGAGATTTGCCTTAAAAGTTGAACAAACATCTAGTTTATAGGTTTCCCAATTTATATATTTGAATGTAATGCTTTGTGGCCATGAAAATTTTAAAACTATAATGATAACTAGAGGAAATGTTTGGAGGAACGCCTCGCTAAGCATTTGTCATCGCTTGCAAAACACCCTCTTAATGTCACTGTCAGAAATACATGCAGGTGCTCTTCTGCTTACAGTCATGCACTTGATGAATACAAAGACACATGCAGGAATGGCTGGTCCATCTCAGGAAGGGGAGAGTGGGGCTATCTGGGGACCTGAAGGACAGGAGACCAAGTCCTGGCATCATGCTGCCTTGATTTGGGGCAACTTTAGCAGTTAGTTGGTGCTAACTAACTGCTAAATGATATTATACTGTGAGTTTGAGTCTCTTAAAGTGTAACCTTTTAGCTGAGCCTGAAATATGTCTGAGAATGTGCTGGCCTCTTACTGGGGCTAGGAATTGGGAGTTGTGACAAGTCCACTTCCTAATCTTCAGAAGAGTAAGGCTGATGCTGCAGCATTAAAGCAGTTAACAAGTGACTCACCTGCCACAATCTTGGATAAAAGAAAAGAGATGGTGCCTACTATTAACAGGTCTGACCTGTAAAAGCTGGAGGAGAAGTAACTTTATCCTATCTCCTGCCTCCATTACTGCTTCTTATATCTTCATGTGCTCATCCTCCGGGATGGGAAAGCACACAGGGTCCCAAAAACCTGAATATGATTCTCTCCACCCCAGCACAGTTAACTCCCTTTCTTAGCTATGTTCTCTTCTCCCTGCTCCCCACTGCCCTCACCCTTCCACCCCATCCTGTCAGGGCAGAAACTGTTCTGAATTGCTAAGTTAAACTTTGAGGGAATGAGATGGAATATTCAAAGACGCCCTCTTATAAAACGAAGTCTGACTGTGGGAGGCTTCATCTCCCATACCACTCTGAGCACGGGAGTTTGTGCAACAGAAACGCTGTGATGTAGAAACCCACATGGCTTATATTCTTTTGACTTATTTTACAGGTAGAAGCTTTTGATTATGTTAGGAGCTAAATCAGCTTCTGGAGGTCAGGACTAGGATGCAGAACACATACCTATGAAAGAAAGCATTTCAGGTTCCACTAAACAGCTTTACATTCAGCTTGGGTAACAAACTATTTCTGAAAGACTGTCTTACAGTGGTGGGAATTAGGATATCGGTTCTTAGAGTTTTATCTGTCATTTGTGAGTACATTTATAAAAATATCTTCCCCCCGCCCAGCTACTTAAATACCCTGGGAATGGGCTTGGGGTGATAATGGACTTACAAAAATGATTTTTAGTCTCTTTCCTACATGAGCAAGAGTAAAAAGGTCTCCTCTTTGACCATGGCTGACCCACTGCATAAACTATTCTTTTTAAAAAAAGGCGGTGGTTTCCAACAGGTTTCCCTGTTTTCAGGTAAATTGACCTTTTATCATGAGAACTCCATCACTGCCATATGTTTCTGTAAATTCAAATATGTATGTGTAGAGATACAGATATAGATATATAAATTTTTTGCCCTCCTTCAGTTAATATTAGGCTAAGGGCTGCTTCAGAGTTGCCAAATAGAAGGGACTTAGAGATAGAAGTCTGGCTAAAAGTTTGGAGGGACTAGGAGCTTTGCTTTGAAGCTCTGTTTTTATTTAAATTTCCTGTTTGTGGCTTAGGGGGGCCAGATGAAGACTGTGAAGGGTCTTTAGCTCCCCCAAGCCACCCCTTAGCATTAACACTATCAGCAAATATTTTCTACTTTTGCTTCGGCATATATTACAGCAGAGATTCCCAAAAAGCCAGAGAAAATCTCAGTGTGAACATAGTGAGAAAGCCAGCCTCCCTGACTTCCTTTCTTGGAACTACCATGACACCATATCCAGATGAACTAGACACAAAATGGAAATGTGAAGCATTGTCACCTCTTAATAAGAAAATTTATATTGACCACTGATGCGTTTTATTTTGTCAATAGATTATTGAGAATGATTGCTAGCATCTTTCATTTACATAGCACTTTAAGCTTTACAAAGTGCTGTACTATCTCAAGATAAGTTATTTCTTGAAGGGCTTATCAGAAAACTCAAACTCATAGCTACTGTTTGGTTCATACATTTTGCTGTTCAGAATCCTTGGCATGTTTCTCCAAGGGAGGTTGTGTTTTTCTCCAAGTCCTTTTACTCTACTTGGCCCACACTAAAACTGTGATCAGAAGTGGCCTACACCAATCTCTCACCTGAGGCAGGATCATTTCCACAAGTCCTAATGGGGAGCTGTAGAAGCAAAGGTTTATGGTTGCCTTCGGAAACATTTCTGTTTCTCTAACGGAGTGCACATGATCAGATAGAAACCACAATGCAAGCCACAAATGGAATTTTAAATTTTCTAGTAGTCACATAACAAAAGGCAAAAAGAAACAGAGAAAATTAATTTAATTATATATTTTATTTAACCCAATATTTGAAATTATCAATTTAAAATGTTACTTATGTAAAATAATTATTAATAAGCTATTCCAAGAAAGTCTCTTCCTTGTGTCCCAGAAAATAGTAGCAATCTACCGTAAGTCTTCCCAATCCTTCCTCAGGATAACAAGCTGCTTTCTATGTCCCTCAAAAGTTGACCAAACCACTTGCAACAAGGACAGCTGTACACAGTGGGACATAGTCTATTCCACAATACTCCAATCGTGGAGAAAGGAGGGGAATGGGTAAATTCAGAAACTACTAATGTCAGGCATTGTCCCAGCATTTGGGCAGGTTGGAATTACTGCTTCCTTCAAAGATGCCAGTCTAGGGCTTCCAAAATTTTGGAGGTAAAACTGTAAAAAACAATTTTTTTAAAGGCCCAGTGCCCTCAAGTGAAGTCAAGTTCAACCTCATATATCATTATTATCAACTCCAAAATAACTAAGATTTTTGAATGCTAATTTTTACATTAATCCATTATCTTCACAACACCACAGGAAATAGTAAGATGATTTCTACGGAACAGATGAGGCATATGACTCACCCTGTGTCCCACAGCTAGTGGGTGGTGGAACTGGGATTCAAAGCTAGGCAGTTTAAGACTGAGCCACTGAACCTAACCCCACCACTATCCAAGAAAAAGTACTCATTTCAGGGGTAACAGATAAGAAGATTAATCTAGGATTTCATAAGAGAACTGTGAGAATGTTATAAATATTTGGACCACTTTTCCTCTAAATTCCAACTAGTTAGCTTTAAAAATAAAATGGCAAAGACCTTTTTTCTTCATGTCAGCTCAAGGGAGCTAAGCCAGGGCCAACGATGTGGTTCCCTTTCTTTTCTCCACAGACCTATGAAATAAAAGGCTGAGACCCAGATTCTAGGAGACTGGCTAATGTAAATTCTGGTCTAAATTAAGAAATAATCAGATTATCCCTCACATAAAATCTTTCATTGGAACACATAAAACATCTCTTAAGTGATCAAAAACCATGTGGTGTTTGGGAAATGACATTATTTTGGCTGTCCAATATGAAATTCTGCATGGAACCAACAAGATACTCTAAACTGTTTATTCAATAAAGAGCTATTGTATAAATTAATAAATTCCTCCTTATGCTAATCAACTATTGTCATCATTTTACGGAGATTAATGGAAACTTACTTTCTTCCCAAAATGGAACAGAACACAGGAAATATAAGAGACCCCTATCTTGCCTCAGGGGTTTGTGTCTTCATATCCAACCTCTATCAAGCCCCTTTCTCACCACTCTTCTAATTGTAGACAGCTTCTGGCCATTTGAAACTGCTTTCCACATGCCATGAGGATAAAGTGCTTATGCATTTTTATTCAGTTCTGAAATTTCAAGAGTAAACCATTGACTCATTCTAAAAAGTTCTCCATCTTTAGAAATTCTTCAGGGTTATGACTTCTAGGTAAATCTGATTAGTGGAAATCTAATCTTTGCAATACAAAACAAACTCAAGTAAACAGTACTAAAGTTTCCTGTTCATTTCTGGTACTTGTTATGTAAAATATAACATGAATGGGTGTTGAAAAGCTGATATGACATTGGTAGATTACATACATGCAAAATATAATAATTATATATTATTTATATATATTCCTATATAATAGGAATGAAAAAGAACTCCAGAAATCTCTACGTATAACCACAATGAACTTTGCCTGATGATATTTTAAGTTGATGTCCACAAACAACTGGAAGGTCCTTTATAATTTAAGCATCAATAATGATGTATTTGGGGATTCGTTGAGACAGTTTTAATTTATATTATTATTATTATTATTTTTTTGAGACGGAGTCTTGCTCTGTTGCCCAGGCTAGAGTGCAGTGGCATGATCTTGGCTCACTGCAACTTCTGCCTCCCAGGCTCAAGCAATTCTCCCGCCTCAGCCTCTCAAGTAGCTGGAATTACAGGCAGCCGCCA